CATTCCTGCGCTGCACCAGGAAGGGCATATCACTTTTGTACTCAGGCCAAGAAATGTGGAACTTCAACCGAACCATGAGAAAATAACAGATACATCCAGATGGAGGAACAAGTCTCACCCTTCTTACCGATGGCCACCTGTGTCTCCCTTGTTAGGGTTAAAGGGATGAAACCACTGGGATTCAGTTTAGCTCTAGCTTGAATGAATTTTCATTCTGTGTTGGCTCATTTTTTCTTTTCCCTTGACATTGGGCTTTAGTCAGGATCCCGGTAAGTATGTCCTCTTTGGAAGTAGAAAGGCCGGCCGCAGGCAGGAGTGAAGGTAGTGGCTCAGGAGCCGGGAGTGGAAGAAGTTCAAGGGTCACAGTTTAACAGGCTGCATTACCACAATCCATCCCCAAGGCTGAGTAGGCCGCCAGCGGCAAAGGCAGCCAGGGATGCAAACCTGCAAGGGAAAAGGGCCAGAGTCTGCTGCTCGCACCTGCTGGGTTAAGCACAGCCAATGACAGCATGCTTCACCCTGGCGGCAGATCTGATGGAGATCTCCTGGATGGAGAAGGAAGCTTGGGAATCCAAGGGCTACATCCAGATCAGGTCAGGAGAGGACTTGCAGACTCTGGCCTCACAGTTCAGTAACTGCAGCTCTGCCAAGGCCAGGGAGCCCTGAGTGCCCTCACCAGCTGTCAGCTGTAAAAGTCCTTTGGAGACGCCTCATTTGCGTTGCACCAGGGGAGAGGAGCACCAGCCTCACTTCACTATTCTCAGCATCCACAACACCAGCTACCCCACCTCTAGCCAGCCACTGGGCAGACCTCCCTACTTGTTCCCCAAGTGGCTCAGAAGGGGGCCGTTGAGCCCTAGAAATGGGGCTCTGGGTACCCATTTCCTGTCTGCCGCCAGATGACTTGGGGAGGAAGGCTCCCAGACCCAGCCAGCATGGCTGACTTGTCCCAAAGACAGGGCCTAGTCAGCTGAGCAGCTCCTGTGGCTCCCCAACACCAATCCTCCTGAGTCCCAGAGGTGGGTACAGGACCTAAAATGTTGTTTCTCTTTACATATTCCTCAGTTTAGCTGCAAAAGGCAAACCTGAGCTGGGTGAGCCTGGCCAGGACCTTTCTGAGTGGTAGTGCAAACACCCTTTGCAGTGGGAAGGTTTAAGACCAGGAAAGACTGAGGAACTGCCAGTGATCTGAGACTAAAGGGCCGTGATGACTGAGTGCAGTGGGGGATTCAGCACTGGATCCTGGAAGAGAAAAGGGACATCAGTGGGAAAATGAGAAATTAACAAAGCCTGCTGCTTAGTTGACTGTACCAATGTTGGCTTCTTAGTTTTTTTTTTTTTTTTTTGGAGAGATTTTCGCTATAGGGCGCGTGAGCTCGCCAGACAGAGAGACAGAAAGCGAGAAAGCACCCCCCAGGGGGGATGGTCGCGCCGCAATCCCTTCTCCTCCATTCTCCTCTCGGGATCCTGGGCACGCACGCACACGCGCCTGGCGTGAGTTCCAAGCCACCGGGTCTGGGACGCGAACCGCGGTCGACTATGTGAGAATCCAGCGACATAGCCATTACGCTAACCGCTGGTTCCCTTGGCTTCTTAGTTTTGATAACTATATCACCATGATACAAGATATCAACATTGGAAGAAGTAAGGGAGAGGCTATGGGAATGCTCTATACTATTACTTTTGTAGCTTTTCTGTAGGTTTGAAATTATTTTGAAATAAAAAAGTTTTTTTAAAAAAGGAAATGAGGCTGGACCAGCAGTTAGCATAATGGCTATGTCGCTGGACTCCCACATAGTCAACCACGGTTCGTGTCCTGGACCCGGTGGCTTAAAACTCACACCGGGCATGTGTGCGTGTGTGCCCAAGATCCTGAGAGGAGAACGGAGGAGAAGGGATTGCGGTGTGGCCATCCCCCCTGGGGGGTGATTTCTCGCTTTCTGTCTCTCTGTCTCTCTCTGTCTGGGGAGCGCACGCGCCCTATAGCAAAAACCTCTTCAAAAAAAAAAAAAAAAAAAGGAAATGAGGAAGAGAGCCATAGGTATACTATTGTCTTTTATGTTTACGAAGGGCCGCTACACTCACAGCTCTTCCCACCCCTGCCCTGCCACCCTTCACACTGGGCCCATGTTGCACAGTTCACATGTCGCTCCACATGCATCTCCCCGTGGAATCCTCCACGATCTTGCGAGGTAGCATTCCCATTTTGCAGCTGATGTGACTGAGGCTCATAGAACTGCTTCTAAAGTGGCTCAGCTGTTTTTTCCCTTCTGCAGTCACTTTGCAGGCCATTTGGTAAACAAACCAAACAAACCAAAAGCTTGTCTGCTCAACGAAGATCAAGCACACATAAGCTGGTGATACTTTATTATACAAGGGAGTCAGCAAAAAGACAGATTCATGTCCACCAGAGAATCCCCATCCAGCATTCCCAGTGATCTTCCTGGTGATGCAGTTAACATAATAAAATAAGAGGTGACATTTACTGATGCTTGTAATGTGTCAGAGTCACTGAACAAGAAGCACATTTCACTGTGAACACTGGAATCTTCATTAGGACCCAGGCTTAGTAAAGGCCCAGCTTCAAAGATTCTGACTTGCATAGACCGAGTACTCCCATTTCCAGAAGTTCAAAAACTTCCTTTCTTATCTAAATGAAAGAAAAGAAAAAAAAAGAAAGTAAAGGTTAAGATCCTCAGTATTGACGCAGCTGCTATGGCCAGAATCAGAGAAGGCAAAAGTCCTAACACATATTGATTCACAGCTGAAACATACCCTTTAGTTTGACCTATTCAAAATGAACTTGCCATGCCATCCAAAGGCGGTTAAAGGACTCCAAGGCTAGCTTGTAGAGTGCTGGTTAAGGAAGCTGGATTCCACATGGCTGACTATATGGTTTGGACCTGGGCCCAGTGGTTTCAGAAACATGTGGATGCATGTGCATGCATTTCCAAAATTCCAACAGTAGGGTGAAATGGAGGAGAAGGGATTGTGCCGTGACCATTCCCCATTGGGGGAGAGGGGCTTTCTCATGTTTCCTCTCTGTCTCTGGTAAGTGCATGCACTCTGGCAAAATTTAAGGGGAAAAAAAAAAGACTCCAAAAATTTGCTTTCTGTAACCCAGACTATTATCAATATAGAACTTTACTACCTTAAGATAACTTTGAATAATTACATTGACAGGGACCAGCAGTTAGCGTAATGGCTGTGTCGCTGGACTCCCATGTAGTTGACTGTGGTTCGAGTCCCAGACCTGGTGGCTTAAACTCACACTGGGTGTGTGTGCGTATGTGCCCAAGATCCCAAGAGGAGAAGGGAGGAGAGGGGATTGCGGTGTGGCCATCCCCCCTGGGGTGTGATTTCTTGCTCTCTGTCTCTCTCTGTCTGGCGAGGGCACCCGCCCTATAGCAAAAACCTCTCCAAAAGAAAAAAAAAATTACATTGACATAATAAAAATAACTGAGTGATAGTTTTTTTTGGGACACTTTCTAATTACAATTAGAAAACTAATGGATTAGTCAGATTTAATGCTATAACTGAAATAATCAAATATGGGTTCATAAGCCTGACCTCAAATTTATTAAACCTACTCTATTCAGCTGGCAGAGTATATGACTCTGTGTGTGTGTGTGTGTGTGTGTGTGTAGGAAACTAATCTAATCTAATATCTGCTATAATTTAATCTAATATCTGCTATAATTCACCGATTGATTATAACCAGGTTTAGTTATCTGGAGACATAGTAGTTTTATGTTGCAAATTCATTCATTTCAAGCCTCTTCAATAGTTACTGCCATGATTTGCTCCCGGTTGGTGACTGGCAGCTATGTTTATTACTGTGCAAACCCTTCTGTATCTGACAACTACTTCGATGTATCAAGCTAGATTGAAAAATTCATCCTAGGATAGCACGGTGGGTGGCACAATCAATTTTTCATATTATGATGATAACGAATGCTGCGCCCACAAAAACATTCAATCATTTAATTCTAATCCAGTGAGACACCAGGTTTCCTTACTCCATGGAACCAAAATATCTTTCTATATTAAGTACGTGGGTTTTGGGGGATGTGGAGATGTGACCAATGAGGCAAGTTTCTTCCTCTCCTTCCACTCTGGCAAAAGGGCAAACACACACACACACACACACACACACAGGCAAAGAGAATTGTCTATAAAGAAAGGAAACATGCTAAGACCTTAGGATGAAGCTTCTTGTGTCTCAAAGGTAAAGTATATAGATGTGGTTCCTAGTGGGGTAGAGGCCACTGCCATTTAGTGATCAACGAAACTAATTCCTACAAAACAGCCAAAAATATGCTTGTGTGTAAGGGGATGAAGTGGCCTTTGTAACTGTAGTTACCTCAGAGTTAAAACATAGACATCACTTCAAAAGCCAGAATGCGCTGGCTCTCTATGTCAAAGACTTTATTACTGTGTTTGAACTCAAGTTCAAATTGAAAAAAAAAATGATTAAAGGCAATTGCTGATTACATAGTACCTCGGGAATGTCCATCATTCTCCTCAACTTCTGATCTCTCCAGTTCCAGTCGAAAACCAGAAATTTTAAGGGGTTCAAATTAAGGCCACCTGAAAGAGACAGAGAGAGTTGCTGCAGTAAAGACTTCATGACATAAGCTCATTAAAATGCTTCTTTATTCTCCTGGTTGCTTTTTGCTTCATTTGCTGTCCTCTCCTCTGGCAACTAATCTCTGCATGCTTAGTGCTGCCCTTGCCTAATGGAAAACAAATGCAGCGCTCTGAGATCTGCTCTGCTCATAACTTTATCACTGCTTTAGAGGCAAGCAAAGAAACTGTTCTTGCTAAGTTTGTCAAATACTCATGTGCTGGCCAAGCCTCCTCTTCACAAAGTCCCAGAGAGTGGAGTCTCAAACCTGACAGATTTGATAAAACTGCACACTATAGTTTGGGCTAGTGGCCCTACGGGGAGTAGAGTCCAACAGAGTCTGCATGACTTTGAGGACAGGGGTGGAGAGAAGGAGGCTGACAGGGCTGGTGGTCCTTTTAGGCAAAAAAAAAAAAAAAAAAAAAAAAGGTAGTTAGGATGACTGGTCTCTATTCAGAGTTAGCTGTCCTTTGTTGAAGCTGGTAAAGCTCTTAAGGGACTCCATTCTCTCTGTTTTTCTGTTTAGCTAGAAGATAATATGGAATGTGGGGGCTGAAGGGATCTCAGGGACTGTCCAGTCCTCTGGTTTCTGAGCAGTGCACACAGTCAGTTTTCACTCCTCTCAGGTGTGACATGTCACATGTGGAAAAAGTACCAGGACCCTACCATTACCTGTAGCACCTCCCCTCAGGTTTCCCCCGTGTTTATCAATATTTTTCCCTTGTGCCAAACATCTTTTAATGCTTATTAATTAAAATAACTCCTATTTAAAACTTTCTGCAAACTTAAAAATAGTAAACTGGGTAAGAGCATGTGTTAAGAGGCTTCCCTTAAAAATAACTGACTTTCCCCAAAAACATACAGCCAATTGATCTTTCACAAAGGACCTAAGACAGTCCAATGTGGAAAAGAAAATCTCTTTTAGCAAATGGTGCTGGGGAAACTTGATATCCACCTGTAGAGGAATGAAACTGGACCCCTATTTCTCACCATTAACAAAAATCAACTCAAAATGGATCAAGGATCTAAACATAAAACCTCAAATTATTGGGTTGTTGGAAAAGCCATGATGTACTTTAGTATGTTTTCCTATGCAAAATGCATCAAGACTTTTCCAACAACCCAATATAAAACTACTGGGAGTAAAACTCTTGGAGAGAGTGGAGTAGGCAAAGACTTTTTTTCTTTTCCTTTTTTTTTTGGAGAAGTTTTTGCTATAGGGCATGTGCACTTGCCAGAAAGACAGAGAGAGACAGAAAGCGAGAAATCACCCCCTCCCCCAGGGGGGTTGGCCACGCTGCAATCCCTTCTCCTCCATTCTCCTCTTGGGATCTTGGGCACGCTTGCACATGCCCCCGACATGAGTTCAAGCCACTGGGTCTGGGACTTGAACTGCGATCGACTACGTGGGAGTCCAGTGACATAGCCATTACGCTAACTGCTGGTCCCAACAAAGACTTCTTAAAGTAGGCCCCTAAAGCACAGACAATAGTCTGAGCAATAGACAAGTTGGACTACATTAGGCCAAAAAGCTTCTGCATAGCAAACAAAAACAAAAACAAACAAACAAGCTAAAAAAACCCAAAACAATAATTAGAGGGAGGAGACAACCCTCAGAGTGGGAGAACATATTTGTAAACTATGCCCAGGTAAGAGATGAGTTGAAAAAACAACTCTCCAAGATAGACATACAAAAAGTACATGAAGACATGCTCAACAACTCTTTTCATAAAGGAAATACAAACCAAAACCACAATGAGATAACCCCAATCAGAATGGCAAAGTTAAAAAAAAACCAGAATGATAAGTGCTGGCAAGGCTGTGGTGAAAAAGGAACCCTCTTGCTCTGTTGGTGGGAATGTAGATTAGTATAATCATTGTGGAGAAACCTTTAAATAGAACTGACATACAACCCAGTAATTCCACTTTTAGGTATCTATCCAAAGGATAGGAAAATCCTCAGCCAGAGAAACATTTGCAAATCCATTTATTGCAGTATCATTTATAATTGGTAGGACATGGAATCAACTCAAATGTCCAAGAACAGAAGAGTGGATTGGAAAAATGTGGGACATGTACATATGGATATGTACATGATGTACACTAAGCCATAAAAAATAAAACCCTGACATTTGATAGAAAGTGGATAAATGTGGAAGATTTTAATACTAAGTAAAGCAAGACTATGAAAGAGGTATGTCCCTGCTCAATGTATACTGAATGACTGCACTCTATGGCAGAAATGAAAGATCGGAAGTTCTAACTGCAGGGAGGGCAACTGTAGATACTAGGGATAATGTGGGAGTAATTTGGGGACAGGAAATGGGGGTGGAAGGGAAGGGATCAGGGAAAAAACAACACATTTAATAGACAAAAATGAAGTTCTATGCTGATGGTAATGTATACGTTAATGTCTTTGACTTGACTAATATGCACTGTATTTATGCTGGAAAAAACCATGTTGTACACTGTAAAGATGTATAATGATTAAATGTAAATTTAAAAAATAAATAAAATAAAAAAAAACCCCAAACTGGACTTTTAATGGCTGAGCAAACAGGTAGATCCTTTCTGATTTTCTTTTTTTTTTTTTAAACCAGTGGACATGTATACTCATCAGAGAGAGAAAGAGAGAGGGAGAGAAAACGTCCTTCAATGAGGTGTGATTATGTTGCATTTTTTCTTCTCTATTCCCTATCTTGTTGGAATTTTGGGCATGCACATGCATATACACAGCATGTTTTTCAAGCTTCTGGGGTCAGGATTCGAACTGCTTGGTAGGCTATGTAGGACCTGGCTCCCTTAACAACCAGGTCACATGGCTGGCTCTAGGTACAACCTTTCTGGAATGAGGAGGAACAGCCACTGAGGACAACTGAGGTTGTAAGACTGCCTCAGACCTCTAGCGGCCTTCTGCCCACCCAGGAATATTTTGAGACTTTCAGTTTTCTGAACTACAAGGTGGATTCCTTTTCCCTCTTCCATCTAAAAATCTTCAGGCTATCCCCAAGTGCACCTGTTCTCAGGAGACTGGGAAAGGAATCAACATCTAAGGCGGCTACATACACACTTTTCTGACTGGAAGAAAAGGCCATCTACTAAGAACTCATCTGAGAAGTAGAGCTCTTCTTCCCCCCGACACTACAGAATTGACACTAGAAAAGCAGAAAGCAGTGTATAATCCATCAGATGACTAGAAACCAGTTCAGAGGCATAAAAATTATGGGAAAACAAGGAAATACCTTTCCTTCAATGGAACAGAGCAACTCTTTAGCCATGGACAACACAAAAGAATTTACAGGAATATCAGAAATACAGTTCAGAATATTTCATGGTGAGAGAGATGAGAAAATCTTTCCATGATTTGAAGGAGATAGACACCATAAAAAAATCAATCCGAACTTCTAGAGATGAAGACAGTAATACAGGAAATCAAGACCTCCTTGGAAAGTATTAATAGTAGAGTGGACCATGCAGAAGACAGAATCTCTGAACTGGAGGACAAAACCTTTTACTTAGATAAAACCACCAAAAATAATGAAAAAAAAATACTAGACACTATAAAACATTCAAATATTTGAATAATAGGTATTCAAGGAGGTAAAAAAATCAGATAAGGGCATAGAAGATCTATTCCATAAAATATCTTCAGTAAATTTCCCAAACTTAAAGAAACAAACAAAGGAATCAACCTAACCAAAGAAGTCAAAGACCTCTACAAGGAAAACTATAAAAAACTAAAAACAGAAATTGAAAATGACACAAAAAAGTGTAAGAATATCTCATATTCCTGGTTTGGAAGAATGAATACAATCAAAATGTGAATTCTACCCAAATTAATCTACAAGTTTAGCACAACCCCAATCCAATTACCAGAGATATCCTTCTCAGAGTTAGAAAAATGATCACGGAATTCATCTGGAATTATAAAAGACCCTGTATTGCTGAAAGAAAACTGCACAAGAAGAGTATGAGGCATTTCACTCCTTGACCCCAAAATATACTACAAAACTGTGATAATTAAAACAGCATAGTATTGGCACAAAAATGGGCCTGTGGATCAGTGGAACAGAATAGTAAATCTAGAAATAAATCCCCAAACATACAGCCAACTGATTTTTGACAAAGGGTACCAGTCAATGGAGTGGAGAAAAGAAAATCCCTTTAGCAAATTGTGCTGGAAAAACTGGGTATCCACTTGCAGAAAGATGAACCTGGACCCCTATCTCTGACTGTTAACAAAAATCAACTCAAAATGGAAGAAAGATCTAAACCTAAGACCTCAAACTGAAAAACTGCTAGTGCATAACACAGGGGAAACTCTTGGAGACATCAGAACAGGCAAAAACTTCTTAAATTAAGATGCTTAAAGCATAGGCAATAACCACCAAAATAGAGAAATGGGATTACATCAGGTTAAAAAGCTTCTGCTTAGCAAAAGAGACAATAGTTAGAGTGAACTGGCAATCTTCAGAATGGGAGCACATATTTGCAAACTATGCCTCAGACAAGGGGCTGATAACTAGTATATACAGGGAACTCAAGTGGCTTACTCAGAAAACAATGATCAACAAATGCTCAAGATGGGCAAATGAGCTGTACTGACATCTCTCTAATGAAGACAAATGAAGAGCTAAAAAGAATATGTAAAAGTGTTCAACGTCCCTTATCATAAGAGAGATGCAAATCAAAGCCACAATGAGAAACCACCTAACCCGAGACAAACTGGCTAAGATTAAAAAATAAGTAATGATAAATGCTGGTGATGCTGTGGTGAAAGGGGAATTTTCTTACACTGTTGTTGGGAATGTAAATTAAATCCTACCACTGTGGAATAAATGTTGAGTTCCTCAAAGACCTACAAGTAGAACTACCATGTGATCCAGCAATTCCACTCCTGGGTACCTACACTCCTGGGTACCTACACAAAAGATAGGAAAAATGTTCAGTTGGAAAAGCACTT